AGAGTCAGGAGAAGGATATGGAGGGTGAAATGACACACAAGGTTTTGCAAGCTGAGGCTGTTGGCCCTATGACTTGTATTTTCATCTTGCTTAAGCACATTGCTCAGATCATGACTGTTCATTTTCCATATGCTCAGGAGCCATATTCACTCCCAGCTGGAGTGCTTGCCTAGCTGGAATGGGAGCTGCATGTGGACTTTGGGAGGAGAGCTTTGCTCAGTCATAGCCTAATTGTTAAGATGAGAGAAAGAAATGTCTGAGACCTAGAAAGGAGACCTTCCCCTTGCTTGCCCTTCCTCTACAAGCCAGACTTGGCAAGCAGCAGATGGCAGTTTGGAATTGCCCAGCCTTGTTTGGTGGAGGTGAAAAAGTCAACAGTGCTTTCTGCTTTGGTTTGCATTTCAGATGTTCCATATCATTAATCACTACGGAGAAAAATTAGTGAAAAACATTGAGAAGAAAGTGGCTAATGATGAGTTCGTGACCGTGAAGGAGTGAGTAACTGTGTGGGGCTGACAGGAAAGAGTTTGTGTTCAGTGTGGGGAAGGAGCTGTTTTGGAGAGCCTTTTCCTCACTGTAGCATAGATCCCTTGTCAGCTCTGGAGGCAAACTCCACAGTGGCCATGGGCATGGCTTGTGCCACAGCAGTGGACTTGCTGTCCTCTGCTTTAACAGCATAGGTGTGCTCCCTTCCCTGTTCCATTTTTCTGGGGATGCATTTTGAGGAAGGAGCAGGGCCCATTCCAGAAGCTATGCAAGATGTGGTATTTTTGGGTGTCATTTTTGCAATCTTTTATAGAGATGGAAATCAGAATACAGTGTTTGTTACTCCAGACTGCAGTTGACTGCTCTCCAACTACAGCATAAGTTTTTGAGGCTGAGAAAAACTGGGAAATGAATGCAACTGGGGAAACTTGGGAAAATAAAGTGATGGTTACTGCCAGATCAGGACAGACCTACTATGTTAGGACTCTGCATTAAGAGAGATTCCCTCTCCCAAGGATTGTTCCTAGATGGGCTCTTATTTACTGCTATGGTTGGGTTCATCGCATTCACTCTCTCTTCTTCTCTACCCAGTGTTTTTGGAGCCTACAGCATGGATGTGGTGGCCAGCACTTCTTTCAGTGTCAATGTTGACTCCATGAGCAACCCCAATGATCCTTTTGTCACCAACATTAAGAAATTTCTCGAATTCAGTTTCCTAAGTCCTGTGTTCTTATTCTTAGGTATGACACAACTCATCTCATACAGCTCTGAATCGATGTCAGAGGTGATGACCACCTGCATTTCCTTGGAGCAATCTTAGTAGCTCTGATTCCTCTTTGCCATATAGAAGATGCTTAGCACTTTGCAGGATTAGATTTCTGCAGATCTACTACAGTAAATTTTTCCCCAGGGAAACCACAGTCAGGATCTGTACAGCTCACGTGGGTCTTTGCAGCATTATCCTACAAGCAGAGACCCTGTTTGTAGAGACATGATGGAGAGCTGCTGTGTCACAGACTGCTGCATTTCGTGTGGCATTGTGGCCATAAAGTAAATTATGGAGGAGATTCTCAGGTGCTGTTGGATGTCAGCCTTGGTTAGGTTAAAAGAGCTGAAGGCAACAAAAAGCAATTTTTTGCATGAAGGTCCAGATTTACCCCTCTCCATTCTATGCTTTGTGCCAGTTTTGAGTTTCTTGGGCCACTTTGAACTCAAGTATGTTATTCTCTTCTTTCCTTCTAGTGTTGTTCCCCTTCGTTATCCCAGTACTGGAAAAGATGAACATGACTCTGTTACCCTCAGATGTCATGGACTTCTTCAAGGGTGTCTTTGCAAAAATGAAGAAGGAACGGGAAAAGGGCAGCAACACGGTGAGTCCAGCCCAGGTGGCCTCTTCTCTTCACTGTGCTGTCCTGAGTGCAGGAGGGACCTGGTGGAATCTTCAGAAGCTATGGTGTATCACCTGCTCTCCATAACAGCTCACAGCTCACCAAACCGTGGGAGGACCAGAACTATGCCCTGCCTGAGCATCGAAGTGTAGAATTATCTGTCTTCATAGAGGGTCTCTAGTCTGGACCTCAACATGTGCTGAAGCTGTGAGCTTCCACTGGGGCTGCAAATGGAGCAGATGTCTCAGCAAGGAGCTTGTGCCGGACAAGGTTTTCCTCCTCCCCACTCACATCTTCTCTGACTGCCTCTGTCTCTCCCCAGGACCGGGTTGATTTCCTGCAACTCATGGTTGAATCGCAGAACTCGCATGATGGCTCCAAGTCTACTGAGACTGACATGGACAAAAGTATGTCATGAGATCTGTCTTCCTCTCAACAGCACAGTAGTTCCATGTCTGGTTAAAGGAGGGAAGTAGGGAGAGGATTTAATCATTAATCCCACGGGAAATTCAAGGTCTCAGTAATGGGGCTGTAATGATGTTTATCACAGATCAGCTGTACTTTATTATATCCCATTTCCTGGGATCAATCCTCAGGTGTGTTTGTGCAACAAAGAGCAAGAAGAGTGATTATTTCCTTACTTCCATTTCTTATTTTGCCTTCTCTGAAGGCCAGTGGTGTTGGCTGTATTTCAAAAAGCACACAAAGCACATAGGCTGAGCATACCTTCCTCACCTGTTAGCTCATCTCTATTCCCCATCCTAGGCAAACTGTTAGATTAAGAAAATAATGGCTCAGCCAAGGCATAGTCCTGCTCTGTCAACCTCAATCAAGGCAGGATGCTTGTCAATTTTTGAGTGTCAGGACAGGATATTTGTAGGACACTCTGCACTGCAGGCTGCATCCCAGCAGCACATGGACACTGCTGCAGTGCCAGAGTTAAATCTTGTGTTCACCTTACCACTGCCACATTTTGCTCAGGGCTACTAATCCCTTGGCAGTGCAAGGCTTACCTTATGGTTCAGGGAGCTGCTAGATATCTCTTCATCTCTCTTTTCCTGGCATGTGCCCATATGTTTTTTTTGGCCCAGGAGCATGGTCCCAGAAGATAGCAGAGACTTTCTGAATCTCAGACTGCACATGCCTTGGTTCTGTTCTTAAAGAAAGCAACATAACACTGCTAATATTGACAGCAGTTTTCTGGCTGTGCAACTGCCAGATCCACCCCTTTGTGGTACCAGAGGGTTAGCTGGATGTTTCCTTTACCAACTGTTAAGTAGTTAGGGGTAGCATTACCTAGATTGATGAGTGTGAGCCTGAATTCCCAAGGGTTAAGCACTGTGGTTTTCAGTTTCTTGTATGTGGTTTTATGTCTTTTTTCAGCATTAAGTGATGAGGAGATTCTGGCCCAGGCCCTTATCTTTGTCTTTGCTGGTTATGAGACGACCAGCTCCACCCTCAGCTACATAGCCTATAACCTGGCCACCCACCCTGACGTGCAGCAGCGACTCCAGGACGAGATCGATGCAAACCTGCCCAACAAGGTAAAGGAGGGTGGGAAGATGCTGGCGTTGTTCCCAACTGAGCCAGAAGCCAGGTTGGAAACAAAGTGTCACAGGTGCTGGCACTGAGATTTCCTCTCCCCTGCTCTCTGATGCCTGAAGGGAAAGTGTTGTGAGGGTGTGGGGGTGTTGGGGTGGGAGTTGAAGCCCTGTGTTCACAGCTGTCCTGATTCCTCTCCAGGCTACTCCCACATACAATGCCATCACACAGATGGAGTACCTTGATATGGTGGTGAACGAATCCATCCGGCTCTACCCTGCTGGGGGCCGGATTGAGAGAGTTTGCAAGAAGACAGTGGAGCTCAATGGTGTGACTATTCCAAAGGGCATGGTGGTCATGATCCCAGCCTTCGTTCTGCACCGCGACCCGGCGTACTGGCCAGAGCCAGAGGAGTTCAGACCTGAGAGGTGAGGGCCAGGCAAGGGGAATAGCTGCATGTTCAACCTCAGCTCTGGGAGTGGAAATGGCAGCAAAAGTGGGGAATGCATGATTATAACATTTAAATTAGGCATTTATCATTGTCTGACATCTAGTCCCAGCATTACCGTGAGGGGAGTTTTATGATCTACATCCATAAACTGTGCATGGAATTTAATTAACTGCATTGAAGGAAGCAACAGTGAGAGCAGCTCCCAGCAGCTGTAACACTGAGGGGTTTATGGCCAGATATTAAAGCAAGTGCCATTGGGTGACTGGCACAATGCCCTGCAAATCAGCAGTGGAAGGGCAAAGATGGGTAGGAAATAAAACTTAATTTTTAACTCAAGTTATGAAGCAATTCTTGCTTAGGAGCATTGTCTGACCCTATGAAATGAGGCAATAGCTCAAGGCAGACCTGGGAGACTCTTGGCCTGGTAGTCTTCAGTATCTGCAGTATCAGGCAGAAGTTAGGGAGGGAGATGAGTGCTGCTGAAATCACCTACGGAGCCTATGGTCACCTTGTGTTCAATTCAGAAGGAAGCACCCAGATGGGAGTACTCTGGCAATGAGCAGGTACACCAGTTGCTCCAGCAGCTACATCCTTGCTCCAGTTGACAAATGGCATGGGTGGTTGGACAGGAGCTCTTTAGCAATCAGTTGCCTTGCTGGGAGTTCATCAGAGGGATGTGCTGGTGTCTCAGTAGTGAGATACTTCACTACTGACTTAACACGGCTGAGGTTTGTACCTGGACCTCGTGCACTGGAAATGAAAAGCTTTCTGACATGAAAACTAACTGATCACTAAGAAGTATTACTGAAAATGCTCAGTGGCAAATTTCTCTGTGTAGGTCATTGTTCTTCCCTGTTTTTCATGATGAGGAGAGGAATGGCTGGCATGTCTCAAAAGCAACCCTGCCTTTAGTCACACTGGGGGAGAACGTCTTTGTGCTCACTCAGTCCTTTGATCTACAGGGAAGCCGTGAAGCTCTAGACCTGTGTGTTTTAGGGTTTGAAATCCGGGTTCAGTTTTGGAGCTGAGAGGGAGTTCTGAGAAGAGAGTAGTTACTAAATCCATTGGCATATTTTGGGCATTTCCTGGACATCTGGTGCACTTGGAGATGCACAACCAACTCCCAAGCAGTAGGATAAAAGCAGAGTCATAAAGTATCTATTGAGAGAGAAGTAAGGGACTTAGCTAGAGTCTTCTAATATGCACAGAAACACAAAAAGCTTTTGCATTCCCAGACTCCTCATCACTTCAAATCTGGAAGCTGACACATCCTGGAACAGTAACTCTTCCTAACTTGATTTTTTTTTTGTTGCAATCAGGTTCAGTAAGGAGAACAAAGAGGGTATTGACCCCTACACCTTCCTGCCATTCGGGGCTGGCCCCAGGAACTGCATAGGAATGAGGTTTGCTCTCCTTGTTGTGAAAGTGGCTGTGGTCGTCCTGTTGCAAAACTTCTCATTCAGAACCTGCAAAGACACACCGGTGAGGACATGGGATGATGTGTTTCCTTATCTGCCCTTTGGTCCCACTGAAATGGTCCTACAGTATATGGGGATAACTGTATTTATGTCTTCCCAGTTAATTTCAAGTGGTTCATCACAAATTTCTGATGCTTCTGGGTTTTTTAAGCCTCTACAGAAACATATTTAATGTTGGTGGAATATTTTATGCTGAAATCCCTGAAGTCCTCTGCCTCTGTTTGGGTGCACCTAAGTTGTGGAGTGCATGCTCCTCCATGGTTCTCTGCTTTGAGATGGCTTAGCAAGACCCTGCTCCAGAGAGCAGGAAGGGAATAACTCCCCAGCCCATGCCAAAGCTGTGCTTTGCAACACAAACACGACTATTCTCTGTGAGACATCCCAAGACACCAAAATTCATCTCTTACAGGCCACCAGGCAGTCCCTAAAGGGTAACAATTTTCAGTCAAGCACAATCTGAATTAAATTTGAATTGGTGACCTTCTCTCTCTCTGAGCCTGGATCCCACCAAGTTTTGGTTTTGCCTGGGGTCCCGGTCATTGCTGCATGCAGTACAGATGGGATAGGCCTTGCAAGATGGGGCTGTTTGACATAAAATAAATGCAGTAGCTGTTGGAAATATGTCAAGCCACCCCCTGGAAGCACAGCAGCTCCCTGGGCCTCAGAGGCAGGTAGCAATATGGTGTTAGTTTCCAGCCTCACCCAGCTCTCTGCACTGACTGCTGCAAAAGGCTGTGCCATTAATACATTTTGTTGGTGAGGCAAGCTGGGGAAATCAGAGCAGAGGGGGCAGAAAGTGCTTTCAAAGGACATTTGTTGTAAGAAACAGAAAAATCCTTATTAAATTATTACTTGGCACGGCTGCTCAGCTGGAATCTCTGCAGATTCAGATTGCAGCTCAACTAGTAACCTGGAGGTGAAAGACTGTAATAGTCCATTAACAATGCAGTGACCTATCCACCCTCCCCCAAGTCTAATGACATTTTTCTAGTCCTCTGCAATCCATAAAATTGATTCTTTTTATAACTGCCTTTAATTAAAAGGAGACAAGTTAAATATGTATTGTATTATTGGTGCCCATAGGTTTATGGGGCTCTTTCAGCCCTTTTTTCTACAGAAGATGTCGTGTACTTCAGATCAGAGTGGGAGGGAAAAATTCATACTAGAGCATCCCTTCAGAATATGTGTATGGAAGCTGCAGCCTGCTCTCACTCCTCCAGTGGTGATGTGCTGGGCTCCAAGCCACAATGCTTAAATTTCCTGAAGCAAAGCTCACTGGGATATGGGCATGAATGTAGCTTGTCAGGGTGGGGATAGATCACCCTTGTCCTAGTGGAGACGAGGAGAGCAGGGATATGAGCAGCATCCATTGATGGGGAAACCTTAAAACACTCTTCCCTCCCCTGAAAGATGACTCCCTCCAACACCTGCTTTAGATGTTGTTTTTAATGAGATTTCCATCCTACGCCATTGAAGCCTTTTCATGTGAAGATGCTTTTTCTTTGGTACTTGGTCTGAGCAGCAGTCTTAGTTTTGTTCTTCCCAGAGAGCTTATTGCTCCTCCAGCTCCCATTAGGATCTAGATCTCCTTAGCACTGACTCACTTCAGCATGAAACAAAATGGCACTATGTGCCCTTCCTTACCTGCAGCTCCCTGGATGGGTTTTGGCTGCTTCTCCCTCCATCTGCAGCCTGTTGATCAGTGCACTGGGCTCTTCATACCACACCTCGTGAAAGCCAGAATTCACTAACCAGTTTATTCAAGAGCTGAGGGCTGTTAAATCCCAGCTGGTAGCTGTTTTGCAGGAGCAATGGTGATTGTCCTGCTGTAAGTACACCTGTAAGTTAGGAAGTGCATTGAAAACAATGGCAGCTGGTATGTTTGTGGGCTGTAGGGTTCCTGTTGTTGTTGTGTGTGTCCTTTTTGCCAGCTTACATGGTTGTTTTGTTGTTGTTTTTCTCCTCCTCAAGATCCCTCTGGTTCTGGACACGAAAGGTTTCATGCAGCCAAAGAAGCCCATTGTCCTCAAGATGGTCCCCAGAGCCCAGGCTGACCTGAAGAAGTGAAGGAAGCAGGAACAGAGCAAGAGATTCTTATTTGCTGGTGCCTCCTGTAACTCTTGAGAGGAGACCAGATTGATGTGTGCACTGTAGGAAGGATTGTCAGAGGTGCAACCCCCCCATTGCATAGGGGTTTGGCCCAGCATAATTACATGAACATTATCCTAATGAACATGAGCCCCAGATCCTGCTGTCCCCAATCACAATAGGCATTTTGCAAGACCATTTGCACTCAAGTTATTTGGACATTTTTTTCTCTCCCTCTGAAGAGGCACTTTCCTTAGCAATTTGATTCCAGACACTGTCAGTCTCTTCTGGCAGTGTAATTTAAATCAAGATAGGGAGAGCAAATTGCACATAGTTAAGTAATGCTGCCATTGCTCCTGTTCCCACTGCCTGCTGGGTGACTCTGTGTGTCTTCTGGTTTTACTCTCCTAGGAATGCAGAGTTGTCCAGGGCTATTTCCTCAGCTCTGTGCTATGACCCTGAAAAGTGTTAAAATGGTCACGTCTTTGCAGGACTGAATGCCTGCAGCAAATTTTCTGATGTTGATTTATTTAGATTTTTGTATGATTTTAGATGGCTTTTGCGTGATTCTGAGTGCAGAGCAGTTAACTGCAGGAGCCCAGAGAGAAGCAGTTACCCCTAATGACTGGAGATTTGCAGAGTGGGAGAGAATTGTCCCACATGTGTTTCCTGAGTGTTTACTGTGGGTGTGCAACCAACTCCCATGGAAGGGGTTGTCAACACAAGCACCACCATACATACTGCTATCATGACACCTGTTAGTCTGATTTATATCAGGCCATTGTAAGACCAACTGAACTGAATTAATAATGATGCAGAGTGCAGCGCTGAGAGCCTTCAGATGTCCTGGACAACCCTAGTCTGGAAGAAAGGTGCCTTTGCCTATTGAGAGCCTCAAAGTCTTGCCAGACTTTGTTGTTTTTGTCGATTCCAGAAGACTTGTATGCTGACATTTTGTATTATTCCTCCAGAAACTGCTGCTGGAGTGCTAACTGCAATAAAAAGCTCACTTATCTCTCCTGTAACCAGTTGATGCCAGTCTCTGCTTCTGCCCCTTCTCCATACACAAGCAGTTCCATCTATAGGTCTCATAAGCCATTGGCCAGGTGGGAATGTCCCATCACCTCTCCCAGCTGGAGAGGATCCCACTTCTTTGGTGGGATCCTCAAAAATCAGTCCTGCAGCGTGGAGATAGAAGTTCTCTTTTCTAATTCACTCTTCCACAGTCACCTTGTAGCACCACAAATCACTGAGGATGTGGTCTTGCTAGCCTCAGCCAAGCATTTGCCTTTCTGTGAAAGTGGAGGGATTTGATTCCAGCATCTGCTCCATGCTGCAGAGCAGCTGACTCATACAGGGTTCAAAGTGCTCTCTGTGCTCTTTCTAAAACACCTCATGCACCTGCTCTGCCTGTACCTTTCCATAGGATGATGTCTTTTGCTTCCAAGCTGTCTGATTTTGACACAGGGTAAAGTATTTGTATATGCATATGCATCCAACCTGCTTGCTACCATCTAGAATGCTGCTTGGATTCCTGGGACATGAAAAGTCACATCCTGAAAGAATTCCTGCATGTATCAACAATACTAAGAGATGCTTCTGGAGATGCAGAGTGTAAGGTAGAACAGCCCAAAACGAACAGCTGGGCAGAGTCATTGATGGTGTGAAGTGATTTCTATTGCAATATTGGGCTTAGGAGCTTTATTCACTACAGAGCATTTTTATATTTCTTTTATAGAGAGAGAGATTATACATATATTGTTATATATTCTTTTTATACTTTCTATGTATTTTAGGAATTGAGTAGATAACCTCAGAAAAGATAAAATAACCTTTCTGCAGCAAATTAAATTCCCCAGTGACAGACACCCTTGGCTGGAAGTGTTGGGGAAGAGTGAGGCTGCTAGAGAGTCAACAAGCTGGGTGAGAGGATTAGAAAATTCCCAGCAGCTCAGGCAGCCATGGCTTCCCCTTCTGCCTTTGTAACCTGCAGCAGTGCAGCTCCCTTCTGCCACCAACGTACAAAAGTGACAATTCATCTTTGTTTTCAGCTGTTGCTGTCCCCTTTTTTAAAGCCACGGCAGAGTTTGTGACGGCGCATCTCAGGGGAGAAGGACAAAAGCGGTTACAGCCCCAGAGAACAAACAGCTGAAAAGTGCCTGCACCATCACAGCAGTTCGTAAAAGGGGCATGAAAAATCCTCAGGTCTCTGCCTTGAGAGGTGTCTGAGAAGATGAGGGTGACAAAGTCACACACAGTGTCACAGGCCAGGGATGAATTAATGACCTTGCTGGGGCGAAGGCCATAGCTTGCCCGGTGGCAGTGAGGGAAGGGTTTTGCCTCCTCACCCCATGCCCATGTTGGAATTAATCACTCACACACAAATGTCAACACTACGGAAAACATCCTTCAGGATAATCTCTCTCACAAAGCTGCTTAACATTTTGGAAATATACAGTTCACTTGCAGGTGTCAAAGCATTTCAGCCTCTCTCATGTCTGTTCAAAGGCATCTTCATCTGCTGCACCCTGTGCCAACGAGGCAGGCGAACAGGCTGCTGTGCTGGGCAAGGCCGACGTACCTGTGGAGAGACCAACCCTGCACTGCTCCATCTCCCAGCACCTGCATGGAATTCTGGCAAGGGACAGAACAATGTCAAGGTGTGCCAAATCTCATCTTTGTTTTGCTGAACTCCGTCCTGCTTCAGAGCAGAAAGTACACACCTTTGTCAGTTCCCACTTGTCCTAGAGGGAGGTTTGCCAACAGATTTTTGCTTTTGAGGAATGGTTGGGTGGGACCTTGCAGTGGAGAATTGCTCTGATGCTGTGAGTTTTCCAGCAGGCACAGTACCTGGGACACTTCCTTGGGTTTATTCTGGACTGAGCAGCACTTTGGGAGATGTTATGGGTCAACCCTTTCTGATCTGATTTCCAGAGGGAACAAACACACATCCATACTTCCCCCTGAGCCAGGGCAAGTAAAGCTGTGCCCTTTGACAACTGTGGGCCTCAGTTTACCTGCATGTATAATTTTTTAAAACTTATTTACAGTTAAGCAGTAGAGAACTTTGATGAGTGTCCACCTTATGCCAAGCTTTGATTCGGATCCCAGCAGGGTCACAGAGCGAGCAAATGGGTTCCCTTTTGCAGGACACTAAAGCAGAAGAGCTTCAGGAGCTCATCTAACATGCTCCAGCTGCTGACAGATTGAAACAAGCCCTTTACCCCCCCTAAAAAACATATAGGATGACTACAGGGTTCTCAACATCAAGTCCTTTGCTCTGTGTATCCCCCTCCTATTGCACAGCTCTGCTTCCTGGTGCAAACACAGCTTCAGCTCAGCACGAGCTCCTCTGGAAGGACAGTCCATCCTTGAGTGGCATCACTCAAATCTGGCCCCACTCACTCATGATGCAGTTATTTAGGCCTGTTTCAAGCAGAAGCACCCACTTGCACTTAACATAGTGCTCCCTCATTGAAGTGGTATTGCTGCCAAGCTCAGCATGTGCTCGAGTGCTTCGCTGGTGCTCCCATTGCAAGTGGGAGGTCCTGGGGCCAATCCCAGGTAGACTAGTCATGCCTGCCACAATTTGCAAGACACTTGGAGCTTTCCTGACCCTGACCCAGGCTTGCATAGAGGTTGTCTGTATTATTGCTGCTGGTGCTGTCCTGGACCAGCTGCTGAAGAGAGACAGGCCTCCAGACACCTGTATTGAATGCTCGAGTCAGTTAAAATCAATGGAATAATCAGCCCACAGAGTCTGCCCAAAGGTCAGGAAGCAGTGATTTTTTTCCTGCAGCAACTTTGGTCCTGAGCTCTTGTTTTAGTGTGAAGATTGCAAGCAAAAGCACTTCAGCAGGGAGGTTATCAAAGCATTATGACTGCTGGTATTTAACTGACAGGTTAATGTAACAAGTGCATAACAAGGTCTCCTAAAATAGAGAGGTAAGTCCTTTGCAGTGCTTGTTTCTTGGACAACTCAAAAACGAGCAGGTGATGGGCACAGTGCAGGCTGGGCTGGCATCCTGCAAGGCAAAATGCAGAAGAACCTCGAAGAGGAGCCCATCAGTGTGGAGGAGGATGTCAGGAGAAGGAGTGTCGGACCATGAGACAGGACCAGGTGGGGTTAACCCCTTTTTCTCACCCCATTCCATCCCATAGCCCCAAATTTCATCCTCCCCAGCCTCTCCCCATCTGTTGCACAGAGACACCTCTGTGGCTCCTCAGCTCCACGTGTGCCTGCAGCAGCCATCCACAGAGTCAAAGGGCACAGCAACAGGAGGACTCATCTTTACCCCTCTCATCACTCTGGCACACGTACACTAGCAGTTGGACACACGACATACTGTGGGCTGAATTTGCAGAAACACTTTGATCTTTCATTTTTAAGCTCAGTGATTCAATCCCCCACAGAGCTAAGGTAAACGGCTGTGATGCTGCTTCAGTGGACTCAAGGTTTCAAGTCAAACAGCAGTCGTTTAACCACACTTTTAAAGTTCGTATCATTTGAATGTCATATGTCAAACTGATGCTACTTCCACTGAAGGCAAATAGCTGTTTATTCCCCTCACAGCTGGCCAGCAGTCTGACATTCATTACCGAAGCCTTGCAGCTGCCAGGGATTGAAGCTACCTGTAGGAGTGCGTCTATCAAAGCCTTCCACCTCTTAAGGGTTATTCCCTCTAATACCAGCTCATACATTTTAGTTCAGGCTCATTTTACAGCTGCAGTAGGTCTGCAGTTGTTTTTTCCTATGTCTGAGCAAGGTCAGGCATTGTTTCTTGCCCGTTCCCTCCAAAATTATGTTGTTAGCTCATTTTTCATGGCTTCTCCTGGGTCCAGGCTCGCTGTCACTGTGCATCAACCCCTGAGGTTTATAATGTGAGTGTTCCTCTACTTGGTCTTAAGGCTGTGGGCAGTGACCAGCACATAGGACTGCAGAGCTGGTGGCCCAGCTGTGGCATCTTGATGCAGCACCA